TATCCATCACTCTGAAGTAGTGGAATAGTTCTCTTGACAATTCAGTTACTGTGCTGTGTGAGTAAAGACACTCTTTGGAATAGAGGTAATGTCCCTGCAAGGTGCAGCAAATTCTCTAAATCGTCAACCAATATATGTTGCTGTTTCTCCCTTACCCAGGATTGTGGGTCCCAAAATCAAGGGATAGAAATGGGAAAAGCTCCTCTCATCATTACCCCTCATGATCCACTTGCAAAATTTGTTCTGCCTGCCCTGCAACTTAGGGTTCTGCTGGTCTAGAAAGCTTAGTTCCCAAGGGACAGATGTTTCTGCTAGAAGATCCAGCAATAGCTCCATTAAACTGAAAGTTGATACTGCATGCTGGCCACCTCAGGTTTCTCATGCTGAAGAACCAACAAACAGACATGGGGTTACTGAGCTGGCTGGGGTAATTACGACCATCAGGGAGAAATTGGATTACTACTAGACTATAGGAGTAAGAAGTGTATCTGGATGAAGGGCACCTTTTATGCTCTCCTGTCCAGCAACAAAAGTAAATGGAAAACAACCCAATGAGGCAGGACTGCCAAAAGCTCAGATCCTTCAAAGGTGAAAATATAGGTCACCCCAACAGGCAAGGAACCATGACCAGGTACTTGCTGAGGACAAAGGGTGGATGGAATGGGTAGTGAAAGAAGGCAGTTATAAACATCAGCTATGACCATATGATCAGTTGTAGAAAGTAGGGTGGTAAGAATTATAAATATAATATTATAAATAGTTCTTACTTTTATAAAAATATATTTGATTATATATTAACTAATTCTTTTTTTCTCCTCCAGCTACCAACTAAAATAAAATGTGGTAAAGGTAGTTAATTTTTCTTTTAGTTTCATTGGGCTGCCATAACAAAGTCCCACAAACTGGGGGGCTTAAAACAACAGAATTTATTCTCTTAGAGTCTGGAGCCTAGAAGTCCAAAATCAAGGTTATCAGTAGAGTTAGCTCCATTTGGAAGCTCTGAAGGACAATCTGTTCCAAGCCTGTCTCTTAGTTTCTGGTGCAACCCAGCAACCTTTGGTGTTCCTTCGTTTGAGATATATCTCTCCAATCTCTACCACCCTCATCATGTGGCATTCGTTCCTTTGTGTGTATCCAAATTTCCCTCTTTTTATGAGGACAGCAGTAATTGGGTTAGCTTAATCCAATATGACCTCTTTAAGAATTTGATTACATCTGCAAAGACCCTATTTCCATATAAGATCACATTTACAAAGGGCCTGGGGTTTAAAATTTCAAAAGCACATGTTTTGGGCAAACATAATTCAATCTATGATATCCTTATATCTCAGTATTTAAATTATAAGATATCAATGACAGAGTGGATCTCAACCAGAAGAGGAATGAACTTCACCCAGAGATGGATTAAGTCACAACACATGGGGTTATGTATCCTCTTTTGGAGACAGGGTTAGCATGTGTTCAAGTGTAGAAGTGACAGTTGCCTCTTATTAGAGAGAAACATCATTTTCTAATGTCTTTGCCTGGAAGTTATGTATGGTTAAAAGAAGTGTAGGTGAATGCCAAGGTGGCAAGGATGGGGTGTGGTGGTTTCATACAGTATCAATTTAGCTAAATCAGAAACTGCAATTCCCTTTCGTGTTTCACACTGTGTTAAGGTTAGCCTTAAGAGAAACTTGCATGAGATTTGGGAGGCGGAAGTGAAGCAGCGGCCCCTATGTTCTGAAGAGGGCAACAGGCAATACTGTAGCCAGCGCACAGTTTCACAGATCTGGGGATTCACCTGGGCTTAGGGCAGCAGCTGTGATTGCTGCATTACTCCTCCTTCAGTTTCACAAGTCCTGTACCAGGTATGCGTTCAGCTCCCTGGCAAAGGGCACCGGACCCTTCTCCAAAGTCACCCACATCATTGAGATTGGTAAAAGGCAAATGTGGGTTCTAGATCTTCCTCCAGATTCCACTTTCCATGCAACACACACCTTGATACATGTGTCTTCCACCATTGACAAAAGGTTGTCACAGAAAGGAAATCAGGAACCATGGAAAGCACTGGCATTGTCTACCACCTCCATAGGGGCAGGAAGTCTTCTTTTATCTAAATATTTTATTCCTGCCCATTCTTCTGGGGGCCAGTGCTCACATTTTCTGCTCATATCCACATATAATGACTGCCTCCGATTAGAGCTTGAAACCAAATGTCAACCCATATTTCCTGAGATTGGATATTATATGTTTGGGGACTAAAACATAAAGATAATATGCCGTGGTTTATCTACAAAAGCCCGCTCACAAGCAAGGTGAAAGCCATATTGCTTATCTCTATTCAGTGTGACTCACTAGACATTTCACCATCCAGATCTAGTTAGAGCAATTTATCAGTGCTCTATCTTAATCAACTTCTGAAGTGTGACTCAGGTCCCAGTTCTTTATTCTAGTATAGCTTTTCATCTTTTACTGTAGCCTCCAATTTTCTCTTTCTCATACTGTATTACCTTTTCAGAAGGTCATCTTTCCTCATTTATTGTCAGTGTGTCATTGCTGGGTTGTGTATATTTCTTCTTTCCTATTTTCCCTTGTACATTTCTCCACTTGTCAGCTTTCCTGCCTCACCTCCCGCCTGCTTGTCCTGATCCAAACGCAGCTAGCACAAGCTCTTCAGTGAAACGTGAGCACCATATCCTGGTTAATATGCGCTAATTAGAAAATTATTAACTGTTGAAATAAATGTATAGAGAGGAGCTGGAGCTGTTGTTCTGTTCAACTTAAGGTAACAGTGCCATCTGTCTCTGCTGAATCTGTATATAACAGACTTACTCTATTAAATCATTAAATTCACTCAGCATGAAACCACCATTGCCGGATGCTGAGAATGATGTATGCATCGGTAGGTCAGAGACTGCTTTCTCAGGAAGACGACACTCAAAATTATTTCCCAGTTAGTCGAGGCACCTAGCGAGGCCCAGAAACCTGGGGAATCTGGTTTTTGGAGCAATAGCTTGGTTAATCCATTTTATTTTCATGAAGTGGTCCACATTCCTCATGAAGAAATAAGAGGCTAAGTGACTCAAAACAGATTAGCCAAAAAGACCGGAGTCTCTCTCAGAATTCTTGGTATGTGGGTTGGCAGGATTCCTGTCTGCCCTAGGACAGTCTGTCTCTCAAAATCAAGTTCAAAAAGCATAAATCATTTCCATGTAGCTAAAGAACAGAAACTGTACTGATTCCTCTCCTTGTTTTGTTTAAAAAAAAAGAAAAAGGAAAGGAAAGGAAAGGAAAGGAAAGGAAAGGAAAGGAAAGGAAAGGAAAGGAA